TTCAATTATCACATAACATTTGTTTCCTCTTGCTTTAACTGTAGAGTTTCAGAGCTAAACTTTCCTCATCACTTTCTGGACTCCTATACAAAATGTTATATTCTCAATCTAAACCATCCCCACTTTTAAATTTGATATATTTCAACTAAAGTGGGGAGAAAACAAGGACGTGGTTGAAGTTCTAGAAGGAACTGACAGAAAAAAGAATCTTATTGATCTTGCATAACTTCTTGTTTACGCTGATATTTCTATTCTATCAAGTCCGTCCCTTTGGGGCCAAAATTATTATGCGACAGTGAAAGTTTGTAATGATCCATAAAACATAAAATAACCATGTTGTTTTGTTTTTTTAAGTTACTTGAAGAATCAAGCTAGGAGAGAGAGAGAGATTGGGGCTTATGGATCCCTCTTTCTTCTCTCTTGGCTATTGTGGTGAATTTCTACTCAGGTCAAAAACATATTATTATCAAGAGACATATCAATCAACTAATTTGATTAAATTTTGTACGAGTGCATGCATTGTCAAAAAAATTGAATTAACAATAGAATTGAAAATCGTCTTGATATTGATGGTGTCAACTCCAATAAAGCAGCACCTTGTGATGAAATCATATGAAACGATAAAGATAATTAGATAAAAGAATTTTTTAAATATTTCAACCATCAATATAGCACCACAGTAGAACTCTTGGACATTTTAAAAGGATTTCAGCTTTGTTAGAATGTGCGATTCAATAAAATCAACATATACTCTGATTCAGTAGAAGTCCTCTTGCTTGTCCAACATAATTTCTCTAACAACTATATTCTCTCTGAAATTATTAACAAAATTAGAGAATTTGTTATGAAATATTAGGTCATTACCTTCGACCACATGTTTAGAAAAGTGAACAGATGTGCGGATATGCTTGCTCACCAAGTCTCTCAGATAAATCTTAATCTTATTATTTTTAACCATCTGCCTTTAAGATGAAGGCCCTTCATGAAATCTCCTAATTTTCGTTCATCTTTCACCTGAGTTTTTTGTGTCCTTGTATCAAAAAAAGAAAAAAAGAAAAAATGAGTGTGTGTAGAGATCTAAAATTGAAATGTCCGAGATGCAAAAAGGGGAAAGGAATGAGAGAGAGTAAATGAAGAGAGTGTGAATTGTCGGGTTGAAGATAGAAAAAAGGTCATGCCATGAATGCAGCTTATGTGTTGCACGCATCCCCCTAAGTATCACTCTCCCTTTCTCTCTTCTTCCTGTGCTTCCATCATCCAAACCCTCAATCCACGCGCGCTTCTTTATTGTGCTTTTATTTAGCAATTCATAACATTACATTCGAACATTATTGGGCTCACGTAATGATAAATCTTCTAAAAATGTAGTATATCACTAATAAAAATTGACCTAATTGATAAAGATTTAATTCATAACTCATAAAATTTATTACTAAAAAGATCTAAATTAGTGAAAAATTATCTATTTCTTTTTAAAATATCAAATTAGCAAGAAAATTAATGAAGGATGTTGATTTCATAATTTGACTTAAAATTAACGAAAAAAGTAGTGAATGACTATCAATTCCTCTCTAAAATAAGACATTTAATAAGGAATTATTAATTTCTCTCTAAAATAAGGTAATGAGTGAGGGATTCTATTCCTAACAAATTATTGTAAAAGAAATTTAACCTTTGATAATGACTTTTAGTTATATATTTAATTATTTTTATTTAAAAAATAAAATAAAATTAAAAATTAACTAAAATATTCATAATAAAATTATTTAATATTTTTATTTTAAGTTGATTTTTATTAATAAAATAATTTTATTAAAAATATAATATAAAGAATAATTTAAATAAAATATAAATATTTTTAACATATTAATAATTAAAAATAAAATTTAACACGTATATATGTGTGTATTTTTATAATGTATTATTTGATATATTTATGTAGTTAAATAATGTATATTTTATTTTTCATATGATGACTGTAGGTGCATTTTAGTTCAACTAGTAAAGAAAGAAAGCATAAGGCTTAAAATTTATGAGATCAAACATTCAAGTCTTAGCTTTAGCATTAATATAATAAATATATAACATGATAAGAAGCAAATGACATGATGCAAAGTGAATAATGACATGTCATGAGTTGTGGCACATATGGTGGCTAATAAGACACAACATGATAAGTGACATGGCGGTTGATAAGGCATGAGATTGTTGGTGACATGTTACAAGTTGACGCACACTTGACGGGTGATATGACATCATCATTTTAAATATAGGTATATTTAACAAGGGATTAGCTAGCAATGTGGCCCTCACCAAAAATTAGTGGGAGACTTCTGATTAAATCCCTTATTAATTATCGAGGAAAATATAATCTCTCGCTAATTTTAATGAAGGACAAAATCTCTCGTTAAAACATAATTTCGCGAGGGAAAATAGTATTCAACGAAGGATTTGTCCTTAAATTTTATTTTTGTAGTAGTGATTATAGCATCAAATCCTATTATTGATATGAAAACCTTAATGATAAGTGATTTATAAGTACATCTATTGTTCTTTGAGTCTAAAGGCATACATTAGCCTTAATGAGTTCCCATGACCCAATTAGCCCAAACTTTTTTAGTACTCCTTTCATCTTAATTTATAAGATGCTTTTATAAAAGATTCAATATTTTAAAATGTAAGATACTTTAATAAAAATAATGTTTTATTAATAATATTTTTCTAATATGACCCTTCCCATTAAATTCTCTCTTTAATATTCTTTTATAAATGGAATATTAGTTGGAAAATATTTTTGTAAATATATTTAATGAGTTTCATTAGCATGTATGATCTTATTTAAAAAAATCTTATAAATTAGAATGGAATGATTATTAAGAAATTACACTCTTCGCACATCCACTTTTTTGTTCTCATAGCATTCATATGATCTATTTATTTAATTATTTTAATACTTCCATAAATCATTTTTTAACTAAAGAGTTGAATGAATTTAACTAAACTCTCAAAGTGCTAGAAATCATTATTGGACTACGATTTCTAATAAGAAGTATTGATTTGAATTCTGTACTTTTTAACCCAAGTTTGAAGAAGTGAACTATCAAAACGCGTGTAGAGATTCTAGAATGGATAATGAACTCTTCATCTCAAAGTAAAACAAGTAAAACTTGCAAGTGTGTGCACGCGGCGGAGATCTAAAATGTGTACGTCCATGTAAAAGATTAGAATGTATAAAATCACTTGAACTTTAAAGCAATTATACATGACTCTCTTCAGTTTTAAAAATTTAAAATTAATTTTTTTAACCTTTAATTTTATTTTTTAAAGCTCCTTATTATTAATTATATTATTTTTCATAAGAGTTAAGATATCATTTAATTAAAAAATATTATTAAATAAAATATTATATTGCAAAACTATGACTAATCAATTTTTTATATTTTTTTGGATGGTTGGGGTATTGATAATAAAAAAGTGTTATTATCACTATAAAACATTTTAAATATTTACTTTTGCCTTAGTTTTATCCATTTTTTGTTATCAATGATGCATGGTTTTTTAATAAATTAATCTCACATGGCATTACATTAATCTAACCTGAAAATATAAATAAAAATTTATCCTTTAAAACAATAAAACTATGCACAATTGATAATAAAAAAATTGATAAAGCTAACATGAGCAAAATTTAATATTTATATAATGATAATAACATATTTTTGGCTATCAATGCTTTAACTATCTAAAAAAAATAAAAATTAATTATAAATAATTTTATAATATAATATTTTTGTTCACTAACTTTTTTTGGTTAGTCAAATGATATTTTAATCCTTATGAAAAATAATATAATTAACAGTAGAAATTTTAAAAAATAAAATTAAAGATTAAGGTAGTTAATTTTAAACTTTTAAAGATAATGAGAGTTATATACAATTAGTTTAAAATTTAATTTTTTATATATTTTAGTGCACGTAAAATGAAGGGATAATTATACGTTCAGTTCCTCACTGCGGCACAATTAAAACTTACTTGATTTATTGACAGAATGATAATTATTTTAATCATTACTTTACTACATTCAATTGTCAATAAATAAAAGTAGAGAGGGACGAGGTATCCGTCATGCTTATCACCGGGAAACAAATTTGGGCCATCTAAATTTAATCAGGTTGAACTAAGTTTTTTAATTTTAATTTTAATTTTAATTTTTATAAAAATAAAACTTTATAAATTTTTTTAAAAATATATTCATTATCAATTAAGATAGTACTGATTTAATTAAAATGGTTTAATTTAACATTATAAATTTTATAAATTGACTATTCAAATGTACTTTGAATAATATAAATTTAATATAAAAATTTTTAATAATTTTTTATTTTAATAAAGATAAAATAAAAATAAAAATTTTAAATCTAAACTTTGAAAATAAAAATTTAATATTGAATTTGAACTGTTCAAACTACATTTAAATAGTCAATTTATAAAAATTATAACATTAAATTGAATCATCCAAATTAAATCAATACTGTCAGATTAATTATGAATATATGTATAAAAAAAATTATAAATTTTTATTTTTATAAAATTAAAATTAAAATTAAAATTAAAAAAAATTTGAATCATTTAAATTAAATTTAAATGACCCAAATTTGTTTCTGGTGATGAGCACCTTGGTTTGTTGAGCACCGAAGACGGATCCGAGAGGAGGGGTGCTCAACAGTCCAAAATTCAAATACTTTTCCGTGTAATTGCTCACTCCCTGTCCTTCATGCCTCGTGGCTCCTTCCTCAGCTTTTCCACAACCCTTCCTACGGGTCATGCCTTTGAAATAGTCAAGCCCATTATCTTCTTTCTTATTTCACAATTTCATCAATTAAATTTAAAATTACCTTCAAAAGTCCCCCATTCTGGGACCCACCTTAGACAAAACCTGTCCTCCCGAATTCATCCTCCTCTCTTGCCACCCCTTTTATAATTACCCTTCTTCCTCCCCTTCTTCCTCGCTAAGCAACGCCCTCTCTACCTCCATTTAGAACCAGCGAGCCACGCACATAGCTCATACCCCTCTACCATCCACTTCTTCTACTCCTACTGTTTCATATTCTGCTCTCTCTCTCTCTCCCCCCCTACCAATTCATTGAGTTTCTTGATCATCATGCCAGATATTTGAGTTCCCTGGCTGAATTCTGAGAGGTGAAATTTAAAAAAAAAAAAAATCATCTTTTCTTGCTCGGTCTTACTCAGTCTTTGGACCATGAAGTGGGAACAACTCAGCCTGATCAGTGAGCTAATCCAAGGGAAGGAGTTTGCAGAGCAGCTCTGTGCGCATCTTTCTTCCTCCTCGTCTCTTCGAGAGAAGGAGCTCTTAGTAGAGAAAATTCTATCTTCCTACGAGAAAGCACTGTCCATGCTGAATTGGGGAGCTGATGTGGCAGACACTGACATCGTCGATGGCAGGATGATGATGGATTCTCTCTGTTCCTTCATTGGTGGGAGCCCCAGGAGTAAGGTGTTGGACCAAGATTCTAACCACAAGGATTCCTTCAAGAAAGGGTAATGTACTAGATTGAGTTGCCCAGTTTGTGGTTCTTTTTCCTTCCCTGTAATTCCGAAGTTTTCTGGTGTGACTTCAATGTGTGATTTGCAGAAAGACCATGCCCAGATGGACAAAGAAAGTGAAGGCTTGCCCAGGAACAGGGCTTGAAGGGCCTCTCGGCGATGATTATAGCTGGAGAAAATATGGACAGAAGGATATTCTAGGATCCAAGTTTCCGAGGTTAGAATTTCAACTTTTCTATTTACCACTCACACAAAATTCATCTTGAGTGTGCAAACTAGTCTAATTAAAACATCACCATACATGGCATTAGAATATGGTAGCACCGAACGCATTCTTAAGTTAGACTCTGCATCAATAAGGGTATTGATCATGTTTTAGTCATCTTATGGACCCTATATAAAAGAGCTAGCAGAGGAATTAATGTCTTTACATAGTCAGACACAAACTACAAGGTAATAATGCTCTTTTTAAACCTTATCCTATTGATAGACTCTCTGATAAATGCACTGAGTTTTGGTTCTTGAGTTGATCAAGAGGGGATGCATCCGTATTTGGGACAGCCAGACAAAATTATTAAGTGGCAGAACTTGATTGTGAAGAGTCAATAATAGCCTTTTAAAATTTGGCAGCATGTCCTCCTGCCTTTTTAGGACTCAGAGAACGAGTCTTGTCGCTTGAAAATTTTTAAAGACCCTCTTCGGAAGGTAGTTGGAACAGGCCCACATGTTAGATTATTTTAGATTATTAAAATAATCATTTTATGCATAAATATGCTGTGAGTCCTGAATAAGTGTGGCTTATAAGTGTAAGGATCTCCTCCGTTTAACATATTAGTATTTTGGTGTAGACCCTTCCACGTGAAACACTTGTTGTGCACTTTCAAATGAAAATTTCACACACAAACAAGCGGTTCTATGTGTGAAAAGTTCATTAGACTTTAAGGTTGCTTCCTTGTTTTCTGACGAAGAGTGGTTTTTATATTGCAGAGGATATTACAGATGTACCCACCGAAATGTACAAGGTTGTCTGGCCACAAAGCAAGTTCAAAGGTCAGATGAAGACCCGACAATTCTTGAGATAACCTACAGAGGAAGACACACGTGCACTCAGGAGTCTCATGTGAAGAAGACATTACCATTAAAAAGAAAGATGGGTTTGGTTGAAAATCCAATGCAGAAGCACCAAGATGATGAACCACATGAACAAAAACCACTGGAACTAAACCCAGAAGCGTTTTTAAATCTTGGAGCGGAGCTTGAAGTTAAAACAGAGGATTTGGACGCGAAGGAGGACATTTTCCAACCCTTTTGCTTCCCTTCTGCGTCAATAGGATCAGAGAATGAGGGCAGCCTTTTATTCTCCGAGACAAACCACTTCCTGGAAATCCTCTCTTCTCCTAAGTTCATCTCCCCAGCAACCTCGGAATCCAACATTTTCTGTCTGAATGTGCAGACTTCAGAATCTGATGTCACTGATATAGTTTCAGCTCCAACTTCGGTCACCAATTCCCCAATAGCTGATTTGGATCTCTTCGATTTTGAATCCAATTTCCCTTTCAACATTCCAGAACCATTCTCTTCATAGATTCCCCCAACTTTCACCTAGATTTAGATAATAACACCATAGTCTCTGTGTCTTTGTCTGGTAAGTTGATGTAGATCCTGGCCTAGGTAAGAAAGACTGCAAAAATCATGGCTTGTGATCCTAAATGAAGCCTAAGGAACTTACCTCTTGTGCGAGTTTAGAGAGTTTCCTTGTACTGAACTTGTAATGATGAGGTGATCTGTAGTGACACATTGATATGATAAAACCAAGAAAATATTGCTGCTCGCATTTCGGTTTGTTGCATTAATGCGTACCCGCGATTCTTAGATTTGAAGTACGATGAGTCAAAAGACACAACGATTTTCTTACAATAGAAGCTGACATTATAATATAAGAGTTTTTACTGGACTATATTTCTAAAATTAACAAATAAAAGTCTCATAATATTTTATTGTGAAGCACCATCTCACGCACACGCTATGGGTTACTCAATTGGAGATGCCAAACTGAACAGTCTAATGATTTAAAAAAAAAAACTAATAAGTATGCTGATCATCAGCTTATTGCCTTATTTATCAAGCATACTGCATGGACATAAAGGGCAGGATTCTTAAAAATTTCTTCGACCAGGTAAAAGAGTATTTTACCTTTTGTAATATTCTAATTACCTTTGCAAGTGTTTTTTTTTGTCACAACCTTGCTCTAAAGGAAAAACACATACCACTTGTTTTTTGTTTTATTTGTTATGATATAATAATTATCGATAACGCGTGATGCTAATAAATAAGAGTTTGTTAAAAATTGTGGTTGGTGATTAGAAAATATTGTTGATGAATGGAAAAGGGGTCAAAATTTTGAAAATATGACTTGTTCTTTTTTTTTTTTTTTCTTTTGGGAACCAAATATACGACTTGTCTTGAACCCCAATAATGGGGGGGCCTACGTGTCCCACGTATTGGGACACGTAGGCCCCCCCATACAAAAGGTGGAGATTGCTCAAAATCTCCTTCAAAGATATTCCTTCCGGTCCCATTCATGAGGGAGGAGATAATGATTTCTTTTAGTTTTAATTATTGGATATATTATTGACTTTTTATAAGTTTTTCCTTTTCAACCTGTTCAATGTTCATGAAAAATATATATTATTAATATATATATATATATATATGTTTAATAAGAATATAGTTAAAAACTTGTTAAAATTTTAGAGAGTTAATAAATTTTGATATTCTTTTAATTCTGAAAAACTATATTAAAAGTAACTCATAAATATTATCAATAGAGTATTATAGGATACTTCATTTGTCCTAAAATATAAGACAACATTAAAAATATTTTATTATTCCAAAATACATGACCGTTTAATAGAAATAAAATTTTATTAATGATATTTTTTAAATATTATTCTCTGAGTTGAAAGAGAATTAAAATGATTATAGATTTAAAGTTATATTAAATGAAAAGTATTTTTAAATGCTTATATTTTTGTTTTGAAAAAATAAGTTGTAAGTTATCATTATGAAATTTTATTGATGTGTGTGATATTATCTTAAATTATCTTATAATTTAAAATGAAAATAGTAACATGGTACCTCCATTTTGAGTGAGTTCCATACCTCATTGAATGATATAGATTATAATGTACTCCTACCATAACCAATCCATATTATTAAATCTGTGTGTGTACTAACTATTTTGCATTCATCTTCGTTGCTTCAATCTTGGATAGTAAAATTTGACATTTTTTGAGATTTTGAGATGAACTAGAAAAGAAAATCGACGATGCATGATTATTGCAGCACTAGTGTCACATGTTTTTTTCCCTGAATCCAGTGATCGCTTTTTACATTTAATATGCCTGGTGCTATTGGGAAAAATTCTGTTAATGTTTATAGTCGAACACAAGCGCTGATAAAAAGAATAGGATTTTATCAGGTTTTCGACGGTCAACATAAAGCTCCATCTAATCTTATATCGATATGAACAATAGACATTTTGTTAATGTTAAGTCATAGCTTGTAAGTAATGTGCTGCATGGTTCAAGTGCCATAACAATTAAGTTAGAACCATTGTATCGACACTATCATAAAAGACTCTATTATTTGACAATCATTTTAGCCAATACTTGATAGTTTTAAATTGTCAAGTAAGGGGGCACCATATATTAAGGCTCCTTACTTGATAATTAAAAACCATGAAGTATTGGAGACATTATTTAATGATATTTATGATTAAAAACCAGCCCAAGTTTGAAAAAATTTGTCAAAAATATTTGACAGTTATTACATAATAACTGTTAAATATTTGTTTACTTGACGGTTATTATCAAGTAATTATGGTATTTTTTTTAAGGTGATGCTTGCCTGAATTTGTAAATACAAAAAAATCAACTATATATATTAGCTAGCCAGCAATCAAACAAATCATTGTTTATGTTAAAATTACTATTCAAATACATTAAAATTCCCATATCATAAACCCAAAACCATAAAAAATCTATAATTTTAGCTAATTTTCAAATTAAAATTTTGAAACTAAGTGGCATAAGACATAAAAATTGGCCAAAAAAATGAATGTGCATACCAAAATTAATTATTAGATTTAATCACTGCCACTATCCACATGTTAAATATGGCTTGAGCTACGTCTTTTCAAGGACTTCTTCTATATGTATATATTGAACGCAACAGAAGTTTTTGAACTACTGTATGCTAAGAGTTATAACAAATTCAAGTTAATAGCTATTTAGCTAAAGTTGGTTAAAATTTATAATTTAAGTGTAATTAAATTTAATATATATACATATTATTATGTAATGTGATAGCATGATAGGAGAATGGATGATGATATCTTTCAGAAATCTCATCAAGCAATAACCACGATCATTACTCTGATTTAGTTGAAGTGGACACTATAAAAAAAAATCACATGTCAATGAAATGGTATAACAGGCCACGATTTCTTGATTAAAAACCTGACCAATTTGACAAATACCTTAATTATGATCCATTTCTTGCAAAAGTCCAATGCTCTCAAGCTGGAGAACAATATCTTGTTAGTTACAGTGCAATACAACACCACAACTCCAAGAATAAAGTAAAAAATAAATGTCAGAAATTCAATATGCGTGTGTGGGGGGGGGGGAATTAAAATAACAAAAAAAAATAATTGATAAAAATTCAACTTATTAAAAATCCTACCATATCTAGCTTGTTACTTGGAGCAATAGAGTTAATCACAACAAGAAAACAATAAATTTTTAACTACATTCAAGAATACTTAGCAACAACAGCACAAACATAGTCTACATAGCAATAGGAAACACCAACAGAGTAAGGGAATTCATGTAACAACAATGAAAATATTTAAATTAACTAAAATTTAATAGGAAGTTTGTTTAACTTAGAAAATCAAACATAAAACATCAAAAATCACCTAAAAACAAAATCAAAAACACCCAGACTAATGAAGAATGGCCACAAGTCAAACAAAAATCAAATTTAAAACCACTATTTGCCTTAAATAAATCACAATCTATAATCTTTGAACTCAAAAGAAGGATTGATGATGAAAAAAAATCAAAAAACCAACCTCAAGGGATAAGAGAACACTAAAAACGAAAAAGGGAAGGCATGAGAGGGATGACAAACCCATGAACAAACTTTGCAACAAGAAAATAAGCACAATAATCATGAACGCAACATTGATACAATGCAAAATCATGGTTAGATGGTTGAAAATATGTTTTCACAAGTGTCTGAAGAGGTTTAAGTGTGAGTAGAGTAAGAATGATTTAGTTCAAAATTTTAATTTTAAAATATAATACTTGACATAGTTGATGATTTTTTTTAAAAAAATTAAATATATATTTTTAAAAAAATATTTTTAATATCATCTACTTGAAGCTTGTTTACAAAAAACCGTCAAGTATATCAAGTTTATATTTGACGGTTATTGTTAAACAAGCATCAGATATGTGTGTGTGTGGGAGAATTAGAACTAGAATTTAGAAAGTAAATATAAAGAAAAGAAATGATCAAACTTCATATGGATCGAAAGAAAATGATATATTAGAAAGCATTTATGTTTATCTCCTTTATTTTTTGAACAATTGTAACATATATCATCACACACAACAACAACAATAGATTTAAAGTGATTGATAATTGTCTTAATTACATCGGTATTCAATTAAATTAAGATTAACTTAATATAATATAGCATAGGTCAATCCTAGATTATTCTTTTCAAAGAACAATTTAAAGATAGTCTTAAGTTGATTCTAGGTATTTAATTACTAATAAAAAAATCTAAAACTAAATGCTAGACGTTTACATTAAATCTTAAGTTGATTTTAAGTATTTAATTATTAACAAAAAAATTTAAAATAAATGTGAGATTTTTACATTAAAATGTAAATGAAAAAATGCATATGCCACTAAAACTACCTAAATGGATGTTAATGATAATGTCTAACACCTAAAATCTATTATGTAATGCATGAATTCTAAATTGTAATTGGGGAGATTTGTGTCAAAAAAATAAAATGTAAACTAAAAAAATTAATTAAATGACAAAAAGGATTAGTTAACTAAAAATTAAAAAAAGTTTGATTAATTAAGAAAAGTTTGATTCACATGTGGTAAATGGGACACTAACTTCACATAGAGTTAACTTTCCTAACCTAATTCAATTAATTAGATCAAATGAAAATGATATGAGAGTGAAATTAATAAATTTAATTATCCAATTAAAGCAAAGGGAACCCACAAGCACAAAATCTAACACTAAATTCACTAAAGAACTCAGTGAATCAAATGCTATAATTATAAATTAGACAAATTAAATTCATTAAAATGAATGATAATTAATTTAAAATAATTCTGAAAAATATGTTTTAAATTATCTAATTGAATAATTAGATAAATTACTAACTCAATTGAACAAGCAAGAGGTAAACCCAAAATTGCAATAAACACCACAATGATAATCAAATCAACAATGAGAAATCAGTCTTTAATTTAATTGGCAAAATAAGGATATATAAACATAAATTTTAGAAAATTGTTAAATATAAAATCAATCCAAATATTAATCCAATTCCATATTCAAAATATTTACAACTTAAAACTAGATTATACTCAAGTATTACAACTTAAAATTATTTAAAACTAAATAATCATAAACTCTTGAATTAAAAAGATAAATAAAAAATTAAATTATTCCTCTATGATCTTCATATGTAAATTCTAGACTCTAACTTTTTCTATGTTTATTTCAAATTGTCCTTCAAGGTAGCTTAAACTTTCATGAATGATGCTCTTCCTCCGAACTCCAAATGAGTCGCGACCATGGGAAGAAAAGTGATGCAATAAATACATGATGGCGAGGTAGCGTGGAAAGGGGTGGGAGATTGGAGAGGTGAGTTGTGCGTGAGAGGAATGGGAAATGATTAAATTCGTGGGTGAGAGATTGGAGAGGTGAGGTGGCACAATAAAATAATAGAATGGAGAGAGGAAGAGTAAGTCTGTGGGTGATGGTAGTTCATGAAGATCAAGGAGATGAATGATGACGGACGCCCGAAAAAAAAAAAAAAAAAACGAGAGAGCTTCTAAAATTTCCCTGGCGGTTGGAGGTGTTGATTGGTGAGAGGAAGAGAGGATTGGGAACAATAATCCAGTCGTTAAGAGAGAGAGTAGAGGGTTTAAAAAAAAAATATAATCAAAAAGAGTCGATGAAAAAAAAGATAAAAAAAAGTAAAAAAGTTTTATAATGTTCTTTGATTGGAAATGCTCATTATTATCTTAATGAATCTTAATAATTTTTTTTTGTCTCTTCATAACCTTTGGATACTCTTTTAATTATCAAGATTCAATCTTCACCATCAAGTTTTATTAATTTTATCCCTATATCCTGAAAAATCAAATACACCCATAGTGTATATTATGTTTAAAATTAATCTTATGTCTTAAGAAATACTTCAAAATAAATTTTTTCAACGATTAAAATTTTCCAACAAAATGACCAAAAACTCAAATAATGTGTAATAATTTAAATTAAATTCAATTAAAGATTGAAAAATTAAATCATGTTAAGAATAAGAAAATAAAATATTCACAATTTAAGCTCAAAATTTTTATAATTAATTTAAAAATAAATTATTCTTAAAAAATTAGGCAATAATTCAAATAATATCTAATAAACTCAGATTAATACAAAATTATCATTGAAATTCATGAAAAAATGAGATAAAATATATGATTTATCAGCAACCCAAAAAATACCAAAACTCTCATTCGGTTGAGATACCAAACGTTCTTGTACATTTGGTGCCATCGTCCAATATCTCCTTTGCCCCCTTATCCATTGTAATATTTTTTTTAAAAAAATTAATTTTTTAATTCTCTAACTTTTAACTTACTTGTCACTTAGTTTTCTAACTATGACTCGCTACGATTCGGTCTATCAATCATAATTTACTGTGACTCAATTTCTCAACTTTTAATTCACTTATAAGTCGGTCCTTATTTTTTATTTTTTAAAAAATTTCCCTATCAAATAATAGAGAAAAAAGAAATGCTCATGTATAATTCAAAAATACCCTCTTCTTGCTATTTGATGTAAGATCTAAGCTAACATAAAATAAAAAATTAACAAAAATTGAAGAATTGAATTATAAGTGAGTCAAAAGTTGAAGGACTAGGTCATATATAGACAAATCATAATTGAGAGATTGAGTTATAAATAAATTAAAAGTTAAAAAATTAAAAAATTAATTTTTTCTATTTTTTACTATGAGAAGTATATGGAGTAATGGGTTGATTGTGTGTTGTTGCCTTTAGGTTAGATTTTGGGCTTTTGTGTTCTTGGTTGATTGTATTTTAGGCCTTTTATTTTTTTTCTCTGTTTCTTTTGTTTTTTTTTTCTTGGTTTTTGTTACAGGTTTCTTTTATCCCTGGACTATATATATAGATGGTGTATGTATAGCCTAACTTATGCTTTTGTAGCATCAAATTTCATTGAATAATAATTTTTTCCTAGTGTTATTCAGTTTACTCAGCCCATCTATTCTGTCAAAATGGTATCAAAGCTACGGAAGAATATTTTAAGGCACCAAAAAGGAATAAAACCCGGGAAATTATTGATTTGCCACCTGGAAAAAGACCTATTGGTTGTAATGTGTCCATAAGGCAAAATATAATGTTAATGGTTCTTTAAATAAATTTAAGGTATATCTTATACCAAAGGGTTTTAGTCAAATTGAATGGGTTGATTATTTTGACACTTTCTCTCTTATGGTTAAAATAACAATTGTTAGATCTGTATTGGCGTTAGCTATTAAGAAAAACTAGAAAATATTTCAAATGGATGTAGATAACGTATTCTTGCAAGGTGACTTATATAAAGAAGTATACATGAAAATTCCATAAGATTTTGGTGAACAGGAGGAGACAAACAAGGTATATAAGCTTCTCAAATCACTTTATGGAATGAAGCAAGTTGCTAGATAGTGGAATATCAAGCTGTCTAGTGTTTTGAGTGAAGGTGGTTTCATCCAAAGTAAGTATAACCATTCATTATTTACAAAGAAATCTGGAAATGAGCTTGCAATTGTTCTTGCTTACGTTAATGATTTGGTTATTACTGGTCATTCTGAATTTTTTTTATCAATGACATAAAGAAATATTTGCGAAATAATTTTAAAATTAAAGGTTTAGGAACATATGGTATTTTCTGGGGATTGAAATGGCTAGGTCATATGAAGGTCTTGTTTTGAATTAGAGAAAATAAGCTTTAGACTTAATTGCCAGCGTAGGTTTAAGGGCTATTGAACCTAGAAGTGTTCCTATGACTTCTAGTTTAAAGCTGTACAGTGAGAAAAGAAAGGGAGGGAAGGAAGGATGATGAACTTAAAAATCCTAATCGGTACAGAAGATTAAGAGGTAAGTTGCTTTATTTGACAATTACTCGCCTAGATATATCTTATGCTATGCAGGTCCTCAGTCAATTTGTGAGCTGTCTAGGAAATCCCATCCAACAGCTACAATGAACATGGTCAAATACATCAACAAAGATCCTGGAAGAGGGGTTCTTTCCTTCCAAAGGTGATACTGAGGTGATGAGTTATTGCAACTCTGGTTGGGCATCATGTGCCGAAACAAAGCATTCAGTCATAGTATACCTCATAAAAATGGGAGACGCACCCATTGCCTTGAAATCTTAAAAGTAAATCACTGTTTCAAAATCCATGATTGATGCTGAGTATATAGGGCTTCAGGTAGTGTTGTATTCGAAATTGTGTAGTTGAAAGGGTTGTTTGAGGATCTAGGACTGTCTAACATTACTTCAGTTACAATGATGTGTGATAATAAGGCTGCCATACAAATAGCCTCTAATTTGGTCTTCCATGAGCACGCGAAGCACATTGAGATAAATTACTATTTCATGTGAGAAGAATTACAAAAAAGATTAATTTCATTATATTATGTTTCCTTAAAAGAGCAGCAAGTTGAGATCCTCACCAAGGCTTTAGGAAAAGCTCTTCATGAAAAATTTCTGAACAAGCTTGGAACCTTAAAATTTTTGTTCCCCCTAGCTTGAGGGAGAGTGTGGGAAATATAGAATAATGGGCTGCTTGTGTATTGTTGTCTTTATATTAGATTTTGGGTTTTTGTATTCTTGGGCCGATTGCATTTGAGGCCTTTTAATTTTCTTTGGTTCTGTTTTCTTTATTTCTTTCGTTTTTTACTTGGTTGTTGTTGAAGGTCTCTTTTATCTCTGGGCTATATATATGCAGATGGTGTCCATGTCGCCCAACTTTTTCGTTTGTAGTGTCGAATAATATATTTTTCTAGTGTTATCCAGCCCATCTATTCTCTCAACATCTATGATACTTTTCACCGTCTTCCATTAAACTAAATAGAGTCAATTTTATCACTAAAAATCCCAAATAATTTGAGATATTGTATAGCAGTTAAGTGGAAAGTGGTTAATTAAATTACCTAAGGATTGAATAAAAAGTTTGAAATGGCATTAGAATTAACCCACTGCTTCTTACCCTAAATCTCCAGGTTTATATAAGTAGCGAAGTAATTAGTTGGCATGAGTGGAGGATGAACAGTGGAGAGCAGAAAATGATGGGGAGCTAGCAATGTGTGTTGAACTGATGAGATGATTAAATTTGAGGAACTAGCACAGCAGAATCTGCCGTTATTAATGGTGGGATTCTCTTACAGCACACACCATGAATGCGCACCACAGGAACCTTCCCCACAAACTGCACCAACAGTAGTCTCGAGGGAATCCAAAGGCATTGCACTTTCTGTATGTGGGCTGTAATGAGTGGGTTCCGCGTTGCATCTTAACTTATATAGCCTTGATAAGACATTAAGTATATGGAATTTTTTCACTTTGTGACATTTCAACACACTTCCAATGATCCATCGCATATAAAGCACAGCAGTTCTTCACAATCATTAAAGTTTTTTGCCATGATATTTGGCACACAAGTCTTTTCCCTAGAGATCGCCGACCCTCCTGGCACACCTCACACAATCGTCTAAGATGGCCTTGGTGTCATACTTGCAGGCAAACCCTTCGTCCGCGAGCTTTGTGGAGCCCCACTTGATGTCCCTTCTCGGCCCTTCCAAATATCTGAAATCAGTCAATCACATTGTGCGTTCACTGTGAGTGCCTTAAGGGCTTTAAGGATTGAGTTTCCCAGTCCATCCTTAAGATGAAATCTAAATTATTCATATTAAAAATTTGAATGATTTAATTGTAAAGTATTATTATATATTATATTTATTAAAATAAAAATTTATAAAAATTATGAAATAATTTTAATAAATTTTTATTTTTAATCTGGTTTATATTTAATTTAGAGGATTCAATTTAATATTAAAACTTTTACAATTGATATATATTAATTATTCAAATTCACTCTACATAATTCTAAATTATGCAAAATAAATCTAGATAATCTATATATATTAATTATAAAAATTTTAATATTAAATTAGACCCATTAAATTTAATAAATATAATATATAATAATATATTAATATGAACTATTCAAATTAAAATTTAAATAGTTTAAATCTCATCTCAAGGATGAGCATATAAACCAGTCCCAGTGCCTTAACTCCCCTCCCCTCCAACTAATCATTGCAGTGTCTAAATTACAGCTATTAAATTTTATTAATATTTAAAAATTATTAAGATATATTTTTTTTTTAAAATTTAAAACAATACACATGGTCAAAATATCCCTCGTGAACAATCTCTCTAAAAGTTGATTCGATACCTTTTAAATATTATATTAATAAAATTTTTAACAATCGTTTGATCAAATAGTACCCTCGTTATTGTGCCACATGAGGCACTTATCATAAAAGTTGAGTTTCACCACATTCTCTTGCTTTTATTCTTTTTTAGAAGAAATTAATATAATCCCAAATTAAATGATGAATCAAATTAACTCACTTGTGCTTGACGTGGAGCTCGGGATAGGTCTGAAGATAGTAATTGCCAATATCAGCAGAAGAAACGTAGGAGGAAGCAACCAAGAATCTGCCAGTGAAAGAGGGCTTCTGTAAGCAAAAGATATGAGCATCGCACACATCTTGGACGTGCACGATTGGGATCTTCCCCAGAAGTTCCTCTATGAACCTCATCGAATGAAACTCCATTTCCGAGTCCTTAAGCTGACTAATAATCACCATCGCACTCCCAGACACTGAAGCATTCAGAACTGAATCCCCTCCCACCAGCCCGCAAGCCAGACTCACCACCTCCAACAATCCACCATCTTCCTTCCTCTCGTTGTACCTCAGAATCTCTCTCTCACTCTCAGTCTTTGATTCTACGTAGTTCTGCGTAAAGGGATAATATGCATGACATGCGCAAGACGAGACAACGAGCATATATGAATTAATGGATATTGGAACACACAAGTACACATCTATACCTTGAGATAGTCATTGATGTATGGGAAGTTTGGGAGATGATGAAGAGGGGTCCAGCAAGATTCGTCTATGAAATCCTTCAGAGAGGTGGCACCATCATCTCCGAGTGGAGATGCAGCAAGTACTGAGGATGTGTATATCAGTCTCCTCACGGTTTTCGCTTTGATACAACACTTCGCTATCTCTTTCGCTGCTTCTACTGTTGCTTCCGTCAGGCTCTTGTACTGCTTCCATACATCAAGTCTCATTTCATTCATTCTTTGTTAACTTTGCTTTTTGGAGACAGATGTCTAGCGTTTAATATTGCTACACACTTGATTGTTTCCATTTCAAAGTCATTAAAAAGCATCAATATAATAAATATACATGGTACATGAAATTTTCACATCACCAATGTATCCTATACTTCCATCATTTTAATTTTAAGGCTATTTTAGGCCTTGTTCATAATTTCAATTTGTTGATTAATACTGATATATTAAGAACAGGAATATGAAAAAGAAAGAGAAACCTGAGAGGGTTGGTGGTGTTGGAAGGCGGTGGCGACGTGGAAGACGAAGTGACAGCCATGAATGGGAGCCTGAAATGCGAGGGGCTCATAAACATCTGCTTCGAACAACACAAGCCTCGCCTCTGCATGTGGCAGCCTTCTCAGAAACCCTACTTTGGATTCGTCTTCTGCACACACATGTATGTAATTACCCAGTCATGCCATGCGGAGAGTAACTTAATAACCAACTTTGTAATTTAGATGAAAGAGAACACAAAGATATATGCATATATATACTCAAGTTTCTGAGAGTGGCATGGACAGTGTAACCCTGGAGAAGAAGCTTTTTGATGAGGGAAGCCGCGATGTAACCAGAACCCCCAGTAACACAAACCTTCAATTCTTCCTTCTCCATTGATTCTCTCCCTGAAACTTAATGAGTGGCGGAGCCTCAATCTTATCACTTTTGTGTTCGATATACCCCACGACTTTCTTTTCTTTTTTGGGCCAAGATATACCCCAGGACGGATAACGAAATGTACGAGAATAGTTTCGAATGATAAGGTAGATAAGCCAGTCCGTTCCTGTGAATATTATTTGGCCACTGAATTCGAAAAGGATGTATTACACCTCATGGCTACTGTGGAGTGGTGTAATATTAATTTCTTTTCCCATGTGAATTTTATTTGCCCTTTTAGAATTCTAAAACAATATTTAATAACATGTTTCCTTTTATCTTTGCAGTAATGCAGTGTGAGTGAGTGACAACCAGTTTTATAATTAGAGTTGGTAATATAGCTGGTAATATAAATCAACTTGTGACCTAAGAGTCCCACAACGGGTTATCAGCTTGACAGGGCGGGTTTGATATAACCCGCATTTTGTGCGAGTTGTATTTCCATCAATATACCAACCCACAGTGAGTTGGTGAGTTAAAAAAATATTTTTATATGCATTTTTTAATTTTAAAAATTATAAATTTTTCGTAATGTTAAAAGTTTTATTTATTATTAATTATTAGCATTACATAATTAAATATGAAAATATAATTAACATGTAGAAGTTTAGAAAGTAAAATTAAATTGTTAGCAAGTTAACCTTTTTTTCTTTTTTGCTAGCTGAGAAATTTTGAGTTTATTGAAGTAAGACATAATAACCAAGATAATACAAGAAAAAATAAAATTAAGATTTGTCAACAATTTAACAACCTACTAACTCAATTTAAAAACTGTTGAAGAGGATTTGAATGTTGATATATAGATCATTTTAAATAACTTTAAAAATAATTCACATACCACTTAAGACAATACTGCAAACGAAAGCACAATGATAGAATTTGAATCCATGTAGCCTACTTGAAAATATTTCATTCAAATTAAATTTTGTAATTTATTTTTTATGAATTTATAACTATCTCAGCTAATTAGATGTAGCAGTTGATAAAGCCAGGAGGTGGCTCAACTCATATTATCCCCCCTGTTTACGGTACCCCATTGATTCCTTCCCTTCTTTATTGTGGCGATAAACTGTAATTCAGTTCAAGACCTGATTATGAACTGTCCTGATTCATGCTTTCTAGAAACCTCGCTCGCAGAACAAACCCCATAGTTTTCTCGCTTCTCTCTTATCTCTTCCGATAGATTGTCCACCTTTGACAGAATTAAAGCACTATTTCTATATTAAACAAAACGACAACTTTAAAACTACCATATATAAACAAATACCCCATAGTTTTCTCGCTTCTCTCTTATCTCTTCCGATAGATTGTCCACCTTTGACAGAATTAAAGCACTATTTCTATATTAAACAAAACGACAACTTTAAAACTACCATATATAAACAAATCCAGCTCAGTCAATCTCAAAAGAATTACTTCCTTCAATCCTAAATGTAAGAACTTATTGAAAATTTTATTTAGACCCTAAATGCAAGTCGTAAACCTACTTTACCTCCCTTACTTATTATCATCTTTTTAAACTACCCTTATAATTAGATTCTTATATTGTAAAGTTAAATTTTGCATATGATTAAAAGAGGGTATTTTAGGAAAACGATGTGCATTTTTTAATAAATAATTAACTAAACTTTGTTAATTTATGTGAGTTAATAAACTAATTCTCATATCTGAGAGAGAGTATTTCCTAAATTCTAATCATACACTGGGCCCATAACACAACCGATTATGGTGAAGCAATTGCCTATTGCATGTGGAAACAAATGCCAATTAATGGGAGTCGTACAAGTTAAAATATACACCAGAGGATGTATTACACCACTCCACATGGGAAAAGAAGTTAATATATTCTTATACTTAATTCGAACAACCTAATATTCACTTGGAAGCAGAAGTAGAATAATCCAAATGATTAAATTGGATTCCCCAATTCTCTACATTCTAGCAATCAATCAAACCTTAGCACTCTTGAAGGGTAAATACAGTGAGATTGTGTCCTCAGTCTTGGTTGTGCGGATGTCCAAATGGTTACAAACCATGGGTATCACGCAGCAAACCATCTGATACAAAAGCTCGAAAAAAAAAACCTTCCAAATCTCGACATAATTCTCTTCATTTGATTCCTTATGCCTGCAATAAATGATTCAAACCGATCACTTAGCATTCCAAAAGATAATTTAGGCTTTGATTTGATCCGGGAGGATGCGGAAATTAAAAAATGAAATAAAACATTTGCGCGGAGTGGCTAGTATAATTCCAGCGCTCTAACTTCAATGCTTGGTTCACAGGCCAACAAAGAACACAAAAACACTTGCACACTCAAAACCAAGCGAACCAAAATTCAGCAAGCAATTACAGCTAAAATTCCCTGGTCTTTTCACACTCAATTCTTTCTGCTAGTAAGAGAGAGAAATGAAAGCCAGGTAATTTGAAAAAAAAAAAAAAATTATAGCCTGTTGTATCATAGCTTGCCTGGCATCTTACGCTACTGATTTGGATCTAGTGCTCCTGAAGCATTGCCTTCTCCGGTTAGCATATTGTTTGGGTCCTATATAAGTTGTAGGGGAAACAAATTAAAAGCATGCTAGATGACTAAAATGAACAGGTTGAATGAAAATAGCACCTACCTCCATTCCCCATTTGATATAATCCGGGGATTCACAGGCCTTATATTCATCAACCAAACTCTCAATTACGTCCCTTGATTCATCAAATTCTGACAGGTCATTATCCTGCCCATTTTTATTTTTGGTGAAAATAACATCAGACGATATCGAGGAAGTTTTCAACATTTGTTGATAAGAATATCAGGTTGTTGTCATGTAGTTGGCCCACTTACAGCAAAGATAGGGAACTTTCTGTAGTTGTCAAGAAATGCTTGTTTCTTTCTCAACTTCTCATATTGGCTCAAACACTTGCTAAAAAGGTGCCGGATGCTTGTATGGCTTGCCAGCATAAGCCCGCTAACCTACCAGATACAGTACAGGTCATACAGTTATATTTATTCTCAATTTGTTGACTATCTTCCTCAGGAATAATGGTTATTTCTAAGAGAAGCATGAACCAGCATCGAACATGACACCAGCAATAAAAAACATGAAACTGACAAAAATGAAGAATGCTGGAAGGACAATAGTTTTACCCTGTGTGCAGTTTGAACATAGGGTGATTTTCTAGAAAGGGCAACCTGCCACAAGTACAAAATGGGAAAGGAGGAAATAAGATCAATTTATGCCATGAATACCCATTTAAAGGAGACAAGATTATGTAATTGCTACTACTTTCAGTTGCTCTGCCACAGAAGTGAGACCTGAATACTTGCAGGACCCCACTCAATAAAGTTAACAAGCTTTCTTTCACGTATCCTCTGCAAACTTTCGTGAACCTGAATCCAAAGGAAAACATGATATAGCACAAATCAAAATTTTGCTAACCAGAAACATGATAAAAATAAATCAAACATTTCATAGAGAGCTGCAGAATAACTACCCAAAAAAAAAAAAACCTATTCATAGAAGACCGTAGAATTTAATAATACAAAAGAAAAAAGCATTATACCCGGAGAACTAAGCTACACAAAGCATAAATTTGAAAGGGTTAATTATCTATGAAAAGACAAGAAATCCTCAGTAAAAATTTGACATGATGTTAATCAATTGAATTACAATATCAAAGATTACATAAGAATCCAGATCAGGAATTCAATTTAGTGGCTTATAACATCTATTTTTCAGTTTATATTAAAAATGGCAGGCAGGTGACATGAGTTCCTGCGGCTTTTAGAACACAGGTTTCAAACAAAAACAAAAGAGGCAAAATTAACATTACCTGAGTTGGATCGACCTCTCCTTGAATGATATTGAGAATTGATATATATTTTGCTTGGCTAGCATCTTTTGTACGAGCATATGAAGAGACCATAATATTCTTTGCCTGCCAGGATCATTGATATAAGCAGAGTAAAAAGCCATTCAAATGGAAGTTTAAATGTTTAAGCAGTCATAATACCTGCAGAAGTCTTCTCATAACATCAAGCACTGTGGTCTTACGAATTACATTAGCCTGCAAGGATATCATCAAAGATTTCAAATATTTCTTCAGAAGAATAATATGAGGAATCACTACTTAGTAGGCTTGCAACACCACACATATACATATAAACAATGACCGATAAAATTACAGAAGAGAAAAAGAGAAGCAGCAGAAGACATAGAAAAAGAGATTGATTAGTAATTTCAATATAGACTCATTCCAGCTCATTGTTTTTGACAATAATGCAACAAAACTCTCCATGAATTAGTCTCAAATGAAACATTTAATGCTCCAAAAATCGTGCTCTAAAACATTATATCAAATGCAAACAAAACATATTGATCTCACCTGGCGTTCCACTGTCAAAGGTGTATATCCTGTCATTAGAAAATGGCATCTTGGTGTTGGAATCAAAGAGGCAAGAAGACCAACCAAGTCATTATTCATGTATCCTGGATACCGAAGAGTGGTTGTACTAGCAGACATCACAGTAGAAACTAAAGAATTTGTTTGAGTAAAAGTTGGGTTTGACAGATGAAGGCGCTCTACAGCAATTCTATTCAGTGCAGTGTTATCAAGAACAACAACACAATCTGCATTAAGTGTGAGCCGCTTAAGTGTCAAGAGTGAATTGTATGGTTGGACCACAACATCACTTGTCTCCATTTGGTTGGGAAACACACTGTATGTCTGAACCAGCTTCTTGCTGTAGCGATCATTTAGAGTCTCCAACAAATATGAACCCATACCTGTATGGTTTTATCAGAATAAATAAAAGTACCGGGAGCATAAACAATATTATTTCTAACAAACGGAATCCAAGAAGGTTATGATACGTGGGCACTTAAAAAAAAGGAGTTGTGTATGCATCCAACATGTGGGCACTGATATTTGAAAAAAAGCAACGTTTTAAATTTCACATGGACACTTCAGATTTTGTCATGTTGCCATATCTATGTTAGCATTGTTTCTGATGTCTGTGTCAGTATTCTCTCTTCCAAGCAAGCAAGAAATAGTTGAGAAATTCCCAAA